CCACACCCACACCCTTCGAGGACGGATTTTTTTTAATCGCAAAAACATTTTTTAGCCTTTTTATTTTATTTTTACTCAAAATGACTACATAAAAATCTTATGATAATCAAAAAAACAATTTTTGTTATCTTTTAAACAAAATGGCAATTTGCAAGTAAAACACTCGATGTTAGATCGAAAATCCATTGCTTCATTAGTGCAACAATAAGCACATCTTCTTCTTTTTGCTGTCACAGGTAAATGCATTTCATTGTCAAAACTAAGGACAGTTTTTGGTGATGCTAGTTTAGACTTCTTTTCAGAAGGAGGTCTTCCACGACTTATTCGTTCACTGCTGGAGCAGGGAGACTTCGCCAGTGAAACCATATAGTTTAAGTATGTTAACTTATCTTGAGCTAACTGATAATAACAAATGAATGAGTTGAATATAGATGTATTTAGAAAATAAATAAACATTCGCAGCCAGTTCCTTTTAGACTTGCGATCGAAATTGTAGCATGATATTCTTTGGCTAAGTCGGTCAACTCCATGTGAAAACTGATTGTAATCTTTTACTGCTTTCTGACAGTCAATTGTAATACGTTGACCATTTTCCAAACGACGGGAAATCTGAACAACTTCGTTGTCTTTATGATAATTTGAAGCCAGAAAAACCTGTTTGGTGTCCATCCATACGAAGACAATGCTGTTCGATGTAATCATTGACCTGTAATCTCCTCGTTCCATTTTATTTTTCTTGGAAAAATCCGACTGAATACTTGTTCGATCTGGTCTAATAGTTCCACAGGCTGTTATGTTCTGTAGCTTTAGCTTTTCTAATAAGTTGAGAGAGGTGAAAAAGTTATCGAAATGTAGATGTTTCCCTTGAAAATTATGACCAGAGATAAGATCAAAAACAACACGTTCGCCTAAAAGTGTTTCTTTTCCACTGGTTTCCTCTTTTCCTAAATAGATTTGATAGTTGAATAAATAACCAGTGATTGGATCACATAAACACCAAACTTTATAACCTCTTTTTATTGGTTTTAGAGGCAAATATTGCCTGATGCTTGATCTTCTCTTGAATTTTATCATACTTTCGTCGATTCTACCATAGCGGCCATAGTTATAATTTTTTTGAAAATTTCTCCGTAAAATTTCAGTAAAATTCTTAACTTTGTAAATTTTAGTGTCGTCTGTAGATTCGCGTTTTGGTTTCAATGAGTTATCAGCCAAATGTAAATTATAAAAAATTTGAAGAAAGCGATCTCTTGACATGATCGAAGAAATAAATGTATTATGAAATACCATATCTTTACTCCAATAAAGTTTCATATTTGGCAAGTTATTGATACCCATTAGAATAACCAACCCGAGAAACGATTCAATATCCTTTTTACTCACATCCTTCCAGTTACTGGTTTTCTTCTGATTGTTACTTCGTTTCTTTCCTTTTCCATAAATGTTTGTTTGATCAGTAATCAGATTTAGAATTTCTTCAGTAAAAAAGGTTCTAAAGACTGAAACGGGAGTTCGCTCTTTGAGAGAGATTGAGGTAAAGCCTCCATCTGCGATATTACTTTCATTCATTGAATTCAGCTGCTCAGCGTATGCATCCAAATCTTCATCAGAAAGTTCAAGCTCATCGAAGCTATCGGCTAGTTCATCATAATCGAGATCGAAGTCACTCTCGCTGGTATCATCACTGGCATATGAATCATAAGAATTGTCGTCGACTTCATTATTTCCATAGAATTCCATTTGGTTAGTTTTAATTGTAAAAACGGTATAAAGAAATAAAGAGTACAAGTTCGAAAGAGGAATGGTATGGTTTGCAAATTCAAGAACAACATAAATTCGTCAATGTGAACGGGAGTATATATATACCCAATAGATAATGAGAATATTCTCGAAAAACAAAAGATCAGAGGAGAAGAGAGAAATTATGACGTCACTGTACCTAAGCAGCAAGAACAAAGGATATTTGAAAAGAATTTATATGAGAGAAGGAAAGAAAGAAAAGAAAAGTACGAGATGACACATGCAGTTGTTTATGACCTTAATGACCTTACATATTTAATAGCTTAATGTGAACTAAACACTTTTTTCTCTGCTGAAGAATAGATGAGTTAAAAATAACCCATCCGTCCTCAAAGGGTTAACTAAAAAAGAGTGAGAAAAGTCTCATTCATAAAGGTGCAGGAGCACGAGTTGGATGATAAGACCAAACTCGATTGGCAAACTGTCTACAATTAATGTATGCAGTAATATTTATTCATTCGTTCATACTGGTCACTCTAGACCAATTTCATGAGGAATTTCTTTTTGCAGAAGCGCCAAAAATTATTCGAAATTTTAGAAATTGAAACTTGAATCAATCGATGATATCGTCCAAGTGTTGATACAATGCAAGGAAAATTCATTTTTTCCAATGAATAATGTTGTCTTCTGACACAGCTAGGGATCAACAAAGTCGACTTTTTTCGGTCCCGGCCTCAGTTAAATTTTTTACGGGTTCAGGTCTCGATCTATGTTAAAACTTTTTTATTGGCCCTGGTTTCGATTTTGTATACTCGGTTTCACTTCTAAAATCAAACAACTTTTTTTTAATAATCTTCATGAATGATCTTGACTCGTTAATAGTACCGGCATTTCGTTATGCGTGTGCGTCAGGACTAGAGATTTGCAAACCCAGTCTTTTTGTCTCAGTCATACAACTGGAAAAATTCTCTTAGAACTGATAGTTCTTGGATGCATGCGAAATCTATATGAATGATCTTGAGTCAGTGTTACTTTAAGAGTCAATTTCAGTATATCAAAATTTAGAATTTACAGGGCTAAGGCTACAGCAACAAAACTTAAAGTACCATACTGGAAATAGCAAAACAATGAGAAAAAAAATGTACAAATAAAGGAATGCAAAAATATAATAATAAATATGAAAATGTATAGTCTAATTGTTGATTAAAAAGATGTAGCGTGACCAGGTTGAAATGATATCAGTCTCAGTTCCGGTACCACTTTTCCGATCCATAATGATCACTCTCAAAAAGCATTCTAATCACCAGCTATGAATAAAAACTCTCGCTAAATGTAAGACAAATATTTTTATTTCAATTCTAGTGTTACATTCGATGGACATATTCAGATTCTAATGACATCTATTGTAAAGTAACTTGTGTAATTTTTGATAGATTCATTGTGGTCTCGTTCTCTTGTCTTATAGTGAGTCAGCGACTAGAACATTCTGTCTTGACTGTAATGAAGTAATATTCTTTCTTATTTATCGCGATAAATTTTTTCGTTCTGTTTGATAATATTGACTCAGCCTGAGCATTCTATATAAAGAAGCAACACGCCTGTTGACAACATTCATAAGATGCTTCGAATTCATCGCAATCAAGCCACGTCTATGCTTCTCAGGCATCCACAACAACCAGAGTATGTACCTTTGAAGCGAGTGAATATTGAAGCAACAATTCGTGCATTTGCTGCCGATGTGACTATTACACAAGT